GGGCCGCCTTTCCCCATCACGCCTTCTCCTGGGGATTTCAGTTACATCCTTAACACCTAATGGCAATTAATTCTCTGAGAGGTCGCAGATGTTAATCCCCTAGGACACAGTAAGTAACCCTTGTTGGGATTTATACCGTGCCAAAACTCTGGAGGAAGCAACAGACACATCTGAGTAAGGCGGAATTGTGAACGTGTCGTCTTTCAGACAAAGGGCTCACCACCTTTGACCCACCCATCCGTCCGTCCATCCTTCCATCCAGCCACCTGTCCATCCATTCATCCACTCATTCATCCATTCATTCAATAAACAAATATAAACAAGGTTCCTGCCTAGTGGAAGCTACATTCTGATGGAGATTGGACAATGGACATCCATTGTACACTGACACAAGCAAGCTGATACATACATAAGGTGCTTTCTTGAAATGAGAACCAAAACGATGTGGCCTGGTGCAGCCGCAGCCAGCTCTCCTCTCCTACCTGAGCCTGCAGGAGACCAATCTCCCAGCCCTAGGGCTGACGTCGTGGGTCTGCCCAATGCAATGTGTGCACACGTGACCCCTTGGAACACCATCTCTTGAGTCTCCAGCCTCTTGTTCTCCTTTGGGGCAAATGTGTCGGGGAAGTAGAGGCACACAATGGATGTAACTTGGATTTGAGGAGCAGAACCTCAGAGAGTTGCCCGAGGGACTTGGCATCATTTAAGAATAAAGCTGTGACGAAGCATTGAGGTTTTGAGGTTGGTTGTTGTTACTGCACAAGCCTAGCCCAGGCCGACTCATACCCTCCACTGAGCTGGGCAGGGAATGAAGACTGATGTCGCGGACTTTGGGAGAGAGGAAGGGCTACTGCCCAGAGTCTTCCACAGCCTCTTGCTCAGCCTCCGGTGACCCAGGGCAGCCTCTGTGCTGGCTGGTGCCCGGCTGAAGAGCATGGCCAACAGAGGTGAGCCCTGCAGTCTTGGCCCCAAAGGCTGACAAAATTACCTTGTGCCTGCAGGGGGTTGGACAAGGGAGGCACCTGTTCCTCAGTAAGATCCAATCTGACCACCAGAAAGACACCAAAACCTGAGGCTTTCAGCTTAAAAAGCAGGCAAAGCAGCTGTGGTGGGCCAGAGCACAGGTTCTAAGGATCCCACTGCCTGGCTTCAGATCCTGAGTCATCACTAATTAGCTGTGTGACCTTGGGCAAGCTCCTTAACATCTCTGTCCATAATTCTCTCATCTGTAAGATAGGTATAAGCAAAGTTCCTACCCTTTAGGGTTTGTCTGGGGGCCTTGAGTTAATGTTTGGAAAGGTTAATGTTGCCTTTGCACAAAGTTAAGTGCTATGTGAAAATTGGATAGGTAAATGAAATAGAAGAGAGAGAACAGACGGTCAAGCCCTCCCAGGTTCCAGTGGCCCATTCGCCAGTCTGGGGAGACTCATGGGCCAGAGTGAACCAGGCCAACCTGGGCACCTCTGCCCACTGCTCCACAGCTTGGTGAGATTCTAGAATCCGCCTGGATTTAGATGAGTATTCTTTTCTCTTGGGAAAGATAGAGGAGACAGGAGGGAAAAAGAAAATCCTGTCCCCATAAGCAAAATAGCTTTATCATAGAGCAACAGGTTTAAAGGTACTCTACATTTCAGCTTGTGCAACCTCCCCTTTTAACATTTTAATTCTTCCTGATGCCTAGTAGAAACAATGTTTCCTCCTTTGCTTACCTACACCCAGTGTCAGAGAACTCCCTGACTTGGGAGCCAACCTTGTCTTCACTCAAGCAAAACTGTTGCCCAGTAGTTTGTCTGCTTCGGGGTTGAACTCTCCCCTAAGGTCCTCCTCCTACAAGGTGTCCTGTGTGCACTCCGCAGGTCGGGAGAAAAAGCAGGCAGAAGGCTGTGGTGACGGCTGCGGGGCTGGGCTTCCAGCACAGGAAGCATGGGGATGTTGAAAACACGTGGGACCCGTCAGCTTTCCCTGGCATGAAGCTCTCTCTGGAAGAAACCCAAATCCCTCCAGTAAACTGTGACACAGCAAGACACCGGAGCACTATTCAGCACTAGAAAGGAATGAGCTCTCGCACCGTGAAGACGGAGAAGGAGCTGAGGTGTGTATTACTAAGAGGAAAACGCCATGCTAAAACATTACCTGCTGCGCAACGCCAACGGTGTGACATTCGGGAAAAGGCAAACTAGAAAGACAGAAAAGGATGGGCATTTGCCAGGGGCTGGGAGTTTGGAGGGATGAGTCAGCACATCACAGAAGGTTTTCAGTGAGGGCAGAGAAACTGCTCTGTAGGATGGCATGACGGTGGACGCCTGTCCAAGGCCACGTAACACGTGCCGCTGTGCGGGAGCCCTCCCTTGGAGCAATCATGAGGTGTGAGTGTAGGTTTATCAAGGGTAACAAAGCACCCTCTGGGGATCCGTGTTGCTAAGAGGGAGAGGCTGTGCCTCTGTGAGGGCACCAAGCGCAGGGCGGGGGGAGTCTCTGTACCTTCCCCTCACTTGCGGTGTGAACCTAAATCAGCTCTTAAAAAAATAAATTAATGAAGTCTTTTTAAAAAGTCGATCTCTTTTGATGGCTTTGTAGAGAATAGACTGCAGCGGAGTGAAGGTGACAGCAGGGGGACCAGGTGCTCAGTGACTGCTCATTAATTAATATTGAACACTTTGGAAAGAGTTGCCTGCAGCAATGGGCAATGATAAAAAGACACTTCTTGGTGGGGCTCCCCGAGCCCTGGGCTTCCTTTTCTCGGAGCTCTAATCACACCGTGCAGTGATTATCTGCTTCTTGTCTGTGTCCCCTCGAGCAGAGTTCCTTGGATGCCATGTCTGGATCTCCCTCATCCCCGCAGCTCAGCTCCCTGGCCCTCACCCCCGAACTAGATCAGTGTCTGGCACGACTTCACGAGCAGCGGCGGTTCTTGGTGGGTGGTGTGGCTGCCGTTAGGACCCCGAGAGCAGGCTTTGATTGCAGCAGGAAGGATACAAGGTAGATTACAAGCAGGATTTCCCAACACTGAGGAACATGTTGACAGCTCAGAATCAGTCTACGCAAAGATTAGGGGTGACACGTTGGAGGATTGTCTACATGTAGGGTGACAAAGGCTAAACCAAGTGAGACGCCAGGACAGCAGGAGCAGACCTGGATGGTTCTGGGCAGAACAGGATGACAGTCGTCCTGCTGAAGGCTTGCCCGTTATCTCCCACTCACTAACTAGTTTTTGGCCTTCCAATAATTTTGTTAATGTCACCACCGAATTTCCCTGCCAACCCTCTAACTCCACAACTCGGGCTCGAAACACGGCCCCTTCTCTGACCGCCTCCATCAATCACTCGGCAGGCTCTGTCCCCTTGCCGGGCTGCCCCCCTCTACCCACCCACTTCTCCTCCTTCTCATTCAAGGACATCTTCATCAGGGCCTCCACCCCTCTCCCCTAGTCAACCACAGCACAGATACTATGTTCATGATTGTGAGTTCATTTTGTGTCAACTTGACTGGGCCCTAGGGCACCCAGATATTTGGGTCCCTTTAATGTGAAGCATTATTCTGGGTGTGTCTGAGACACATTGTTCTCCCTATGTGGGCGGGATGCATCTGATCAACTGAAAGCATGGATGGAATGCAATGGGGACCCCCTTGCAAGTAAAGAACTCTTGCCTGAGCACCTTCCAGCTGAGACATCGATTTTTTTTTTCCTGCTTCAGATTGGGATTACAACCATGGATTCTCGTGGGTCTCCAGCTTGCCCATTGCAGATCTAGGGACTTGTCAGCCTCAAGATTGCCTGATCCAACTCTGTTTGATTGATTGATAGATAGATAGATAGATAGATAGATAGATAAATAGATAATATAGATTTAGACACAGATGATACAGTTAGATATATCCTCCTCAGTCTGTGATGGGGTTATGTCCTGATAAACTCATCATAAATGTTACCTAAGTTAAAAATGCATTTAGTGGCGAGTGTTTGGCATTATGGTTGAGGTGTCCCATGGGATGGCCACACTCCAGAGCAGAGTGCTTGGGTTTACAGCCCAGCTAAGCTCCTCATTCCAGCTCCCTGCTAACACCCACCCTCAGAGGCAGCAGATGATGGCTAAAGTGGTTGAGTCTCCACCTCCCATGTAAGACACCTGGATTGAGTTCCCCACTTTTGGCTTGAATCTGGCCCAGCCCAGACACTGTGGGCATTTGGGGAGTTTGCCAGTTGTTGCGAGAGCTCTCCACCTCCAAAATAAATTAAGTTAAATATTTTTTCAAAGGCATTTATGTACAGAACCTACTGAGCATCCTAGCTTAGCAACTCAACATATTGTAGGGTGTCAGCTGTGACGTTTGTCACCGCAGGGCTGACGGGGGCTATGCTTAGGGCCCACTGCTCAACACTGCGTGAGAGTATCCTGTGCATGTCACCAGCCAAGGGAAAGATCCAAAGTCAAACTCCAAAGTATTGCTTCTCTTGAGTGCACACTGCTTTCACACCTTTGTAAACCCAAAACTACCATGTCAGAGAGAGAAAGAGAGAGAGAGAGAGAGAGAGGAAGAGAGAGCGCCAATGCCTCATCACTTCTGCTTCTCTAGAGAACCCTGACTCATCTAACAAGACACTGTACCCCAGTACCCACTTGACATGTAGCACTCCGTTAATGCTTCTGAATGTGGGAACAGATTCAGAGTTTTGAAAATGTTCCAGAGTCCTCAACTTTCTATACGCAATTCAAAATAAAAGCAAGAGCAGAACACTAAAGTGTAAGTATGATAAAATGTTTCAAGCTGCTTCTGGATCTTTGGATTCAAACTTGGATAAACTTCTATTGACGCTGCACGGTGAGGCGGGGGGCGTTCCCTAGTCTGCTCGTGCCCTAGGCACGAGTGCAGTGTCCAACTGTGTGATCCCACCTTGGCCAATGGACGAACGTCAGAATGAATGCATGAGCACACAAATGTTGCAGGCAATAAGGAGAAATTGACCTGTGAGTCACACTTCATTATTCTTTCACCTCTCTTAAGTTGGGCATCGGCCCATTTCCAGTGGGGGCTTTTCTTCTTCTTCTTCTGATGACTTGAAACTTGCCCTTTCATTCCTGCAACGCAGTAGTTGAAACTAATTAGCTTCTGGATACGATTCCTGCTCTGCTCACCATCTGACCCTGAAACCCGAGCTCACGGCTGAACCTGTCTGCGGGGTTCAGTACAGACGTTGTCGCCACGCGGCAGCTGTCCTCCTGGGGAGAACGGTGCCTGGCGATACCCAGATACCCACGTGCCTTCCCAAGACACCTGCAAACTCCAGAGCGCTCCCTCCCATCTACTCAGAGTCAGCCTTCGGGCCTTGCCACCTCCTCAGTCCAGCCCAGCCTTTGTCCCTCCAGGACAGCCACAAAACGACCACCATCTCGGAAAGGATCTCAGGTACCCACGGGGCAGCCAGGGTGGGAACGGAGATTTTTGCACCTGCACTCCAGGCAAACGCCTGCATGGTGGACCAGCCCACTTGGCATCAGCCCGCAGTGCGTTGACTGTCCGCTAAGGAAGCAGGGCTTATGTGGACTCTGGTATTTAGGTTTGCTCTTTGGGGTGTTCATAATCGCACAAGACTGAAACTCCTAGGTCACGCAGCCATTCTTGGCTGTTAAAAAGAATATATGTGGCTAGAGGACAAAAAGTAACCCCAATGCGTGCCTTTTGCATGAGCAAGGGAGACTGTCCCCAACTCTGCCCCAGTCATGCCGGGGTGCAGTGTCCACAGGTGGCGGACTGGATGAGGGCTTCCCCCGGTGACTTTTGACTCTTGTTGCTCTGCGCTTTCCCAGGACGATCTGAGCATTGAGCAGGAACCAGGCGCGTGACCTGAGCTCCTCCTTGGGGCAGACCCTCTTCTGGCAGGCCGTCCTGGCTCAAGTCGTGGCATGTGCTCCTCGTGCGATCCTCAGGAAGCTCCCGCAGGTCTCCAAGCCTGTGTGTCTCCCTCGGTGACCTGTTTCACGGGGCTGTGGTGAGGATTCAGCCACTTCGTGCAACCAAAGTGATGCTAACAGAGCCTGGCTCCTAAGAAGAACTCAATGCTCTTAAACGGAGGCGGCTTGGGAAAGGTGGGCAGGTTCCCCAGAGTCAGGATGAGAGAGAGTGGGAGAATTCAGATCCAAGCCCAGTCAGTCTGACCAGGAAAGCCAAGTGCGTGGCTGCTGCTGCATGGTTTGAAAACCACAGTGGGAGTCTCGCCTAATGCAAGGTCAGCCTGATCTGGAGGGAGCAGCAGCGCCCCAAAACCACAGTGTTAGTCTTGTCTACGTGCCTGTTGCTGGAACCGAATCTCCTCCCGAGCATGCACCCCTGAATTTTCAAATGTCTCTCTTCTGGGTGTTTGTGTGTGTGTGTGTGTGTGTGCTCTGTGCCGGATTTAAGCCCCATATTTCTACGTGTCCTTTTTCATTATAAAGTTATACGTCTTGTCTTGCCAAGTCTTCGTTCTCCTGGAACTGCACACATTAGGCTGGCAGAGATTCTGTTCTCACTGCCCACGCAAGGACCCTGAGACCCGCAGAAGACAAGGGACCTGCATGAGTCCAGGGCTGGGGCTAGCGTCCAGGATGACAGTCTCAGTCCAAGGAGACGTCGAACCACATTTGCCACCTAATTTCATCCACAGGGTCCCCGCAGGGCCTGGGGCCACCACACACGACAGAGAGAGACAGCCAGTCTGTTATGCTGAGTGAGCAGCCATTGCCACATGTCTGCCACAGCTCATGGTCAGAACCCATTTCCCAGGAAGGGGGGCTCAGTCAGGGCTTCGCCGATCCTGCGGGGTTCCACTGCACAGCCCTGCTCCTAGTGCCCGGCAGGCTGAGAGCCACCCCTCAGCTGCTCCTTCTGGGGCCCCCAGCACAGGGACAGCAGCTTCCCTGGGAAGCCTGATACTGGCCATGAGTGAGAGATGCGGGGGAACTGTGTGAACTGGTTTCCCAGCTCTCCCAGCCCCCACCACAGGTGAGAGCAAGCCGCGAGCCCGAGGCCAAAACCAAGGGCCAGCGCGTTATGCCTACCATGGGAGAAGCTACAAAACTCGTGTGGCAAAGAGTGGGAGTACAGAGGGGTGAAGATGTGGGGCCAGTACTTGGAGCAATCACAACAGACCTGAGAAGACAGAGCGTGGGAAGTCAAGGGCGTGAATTCTGAGGTTAGACAAGAGCGGGTTGAGACCGTAGCCCTGTCATTTATCCGCTGCATGCTCTGAGCAAGCTGCCGAGTGGGGAAGGCTCCCTCGGCCTCCGTGGGACACAAACCAGACACGAGGGCCCAGAGATAAGGCGTTCAAATGGCCGCTACCTGCATGGAGCAAGGAACGGAGCACACGAACAAAAGGCGTTTGCATCCCCAAGGCCAAGGCCATGCGCTGGGTCCCCTTTGGAGGCCCTGGCACTTTGCATCCCTAACCTTCCCCCCACCCAGCTGTACCATTCTGTCTTAGTGCCACTAGAAATCACCATAGACTCCTACTAAGGTGTGACCCACTACTGACTGCTTTTCTCTCCCTTAGGCGAATCTTCTGAATAGGAGCCATGTCCTCCCAGGAACGAGCCCCAACCCTGGAATGTCAGGTGCTCGGATGGGCCCAGGTCCCAAGAGTCAGGAAGACAGGTATGGGATGGGGTGAAATTTCCAAAATACCAAGCCATCTACTCTATGCACCACTTCAACTCCAGAATCTATGTGAAAGCTGAGAAACACAGACAGACAGGAGAGAGAGAGAGAGAGAGAGAGAGAGAGAGCGCTTTAGTTAAAAAACCAGGAGATCTGGGTTCTATTTCAGCAATGACATTGCTTTAGTGACCCAAGCAGTTTCCTTCCCACTGGGTTTTGATTTTCTTCTTGAGACTACTAAAAGCATAAGTAGCAGCCAAGGAGTTACAGGTTTCAAGGGTTTGAGAAGAAGGCTCTAGGAAGGAGCCCTTGTCTAGCCTGTTGGGCAATGAACACAGGGCCAGAGGTCCATATGGTGCAGGCAGAATCATAACTGGGTGTGACCGCACAGGGCTTTTTAAATTTTTTAAAAAGATTTATTTATTTGAAAGACAGAGTTACAGACAGAGATAAAGAATCTTCCATCCACTGGTTCACTCCCAAAATGGTCGCAAAGACCAGGACCGGGCCAGACCAAAGCCAGGAACCTGGAGCTTCATCTGGGTCTCCTACGTGGGTGCAGGGGCCCAAGCACTTGGGCCATCTTCTTCTGCAGCTTTCTCAGGTACATTTAGCAGGGAGCCAGATAGGATGTGGAGCAGCCAGGACTCCAACCAGCACTCATATCTGATGCTGGTGCCGCAGGCAGCAGCCTTACCTGTTTTGTTTTGTTTGTTTGTTTTTTGACAGGCAGAGTGGACAGTGAGAGAGAGAGACAGAGAGAAAGGTCTTCCTTTGCCATTGGTTCACCCTCCAATGGCCGCCATGGCTGGCGCACCACGCTGATCTAAAGCCAGGAGCCAGGTGCTTCTCCTGGTCTCCCATGGGGTGCAGGGCCCAAGCACTTGGGCCATCCTCCACTGCACTCCCTGGCCACAGCAGAGAGCTGGCCTGGAAGAGGGGCAACGGGGACAGAATCTGGTGCCCCGACCGGGACTAGAACCTGGTGTGCTGGCGCCGCAGGCAGAAGATTAGCCTATTGAGCCACGGTGTCGGCCAGCCTTACCTGTTATGCCACACTGCCAACCCCTGAACAGGCCTTTGTCTTGCAACATGTGGGAGACATGGATGAAGCTTCTGGCTCCTGGTTTCAGCCAGCCCAGCTCCAGTCATTGAGGCCATCTGGGGTGCAAACCAACAGATGGAAGCTTTCTCTCTCTCTCTCTTTCTCTCTCTCTCTCTCTCTCTCTCTCTGTGTGTGTGTGTGTGTGTGTAAAACTCTCCATTTCAAATAAATAAATAAATCTTAAAATTAAAAAAAAAGCAGTCTCTGGGGTTTCAGTCAGGGCCATACTCAGGGATGGGAAGTCCCACGTGGCCCAGCGGTTAAGTGTCAGCCCCCTTGGGAGCACACAAGTACCAGGAATCCTCATGGTGACTCTGTGGTGCACATGTGTGCTACCCTGTGCAGGTGGGGAAGCCAAGTACCAGCTCCTAAAGTGGCTTCCCCCAGGCCACCCAGCTAGCAGGTGACCACAGTGGAATTTGGACACAGGCACTTTGGTTTCAGAGGCTGTCTCTGAGCGACTGTGCCCATCCCTCTCCTGGGAGAATGCCAGTGTCCCAAAGGACGTGGGCCCACCTGGGGAATGTAGGCTCGGAAGGCCTCCTGCAGAGGGGAGCTGGGCTCAAAGCTGGCAGTGAGCAGGAGCTGGTAGCAGGTCTAGGGAACAGCAGCGGTAGAGGAGCGGGGAGAGAATGCACGGAGCACATGGAAAATGAAGCAACTGGAGGGAGAGCCAGGGCCCGTGTCTGGGAGCAAGTCAGGATCACTCTTCCCCTGGATGGGTTTCCCGGTGCTGCACCTTCATCCCCTGCAGACACAGGAGCAAGGCGGCAGCCAGAGGAGAGGGCAAGTTCTGTCTGCAGCTGCCTTCTGGCTCCATGACGGAAAGCGTGAAGAAGCTGCAGCTCCCCCAGGTCTAAACGTGGTTGGAAACAGAGAGCTCCTGTCTCCGCCGTGCCCTGCCTCCTTGCTAGTCACTGCCTGCTCTGACAGCCTCCTCTCGCATCGGGAGCATCCGAGGAGCAAGGTGGCCAGGGCCCTGGGTTAGGGACCTTGGCAGTCCACAACAGAACTCTCCCAGTTTCTAGCTCTGTGGACCTGAGCACGTCACTCTCCTGTTCCTGACCTCAGCTCGTTGTGTAAAATGAGTTTTCCTACTTCCCTGGGTCATTTTGGGGATAAAACAGGGGAATGCATGCCAAAGGCTCTCAAGGCTTCCTGGGATGCAGTAGGTGCTCACTGAGGGCAGGTCAATATTAGCATCCCCTGGGGATCCAGCTTTCCCGTCACTCCCACTGATCTTCCCTCATCCCAGCCAAGAGAAAGTGAAGCAGAAAGATGTTTATGGGCTGCGAGTGGTCCTTCCTCGAAGGTCATTCCCACAGGGAAGCATTTCCAGGGAAAATGATAACAGTGAACCCCCAAGGAGTAACATGTCCATGGTGTTAAAAGCCAAAATGCTGGGGCCGGCGCTGTGGCTCATTTGGTTAATCCTCCACCTGCAGTGTTGGCATCCTATATGGGCGCCAGGTTCTAGTCCCGGTTGCTCCTCTTCCAATCCAGCTCTCTGCTCTGGCCTGGGAGTGCAGTGGAGGATGGCCCAAGTGCTTGGGCCCTGCACCCCATGGGAGACCAGGAGAAACACCTGGCTCCTGGCTTCGGATCGGCGCAGCTCCAGCCGTAGCGGCCATTTGGGGGGGTGAACCAACGGCAAAAAGGAAGACCTTTCTCTCTGTCTCTCTCTCTCTCACTGCCTAACTCAGCCTGGCAAAAAAAAAATTTTTTTTTAAAAGCCAAAATGTTGAGCAGCTCTTCCAGGGTCCATTTCCTTGAACTTGCCAAACTACAATACATGAGTACACAACCCCTGAGGTTAGACAGAGAGCAAATCCGGCTTTCTGGAGCAGTGGCAGGGAGGGAGTATGACCCTGCAGCACACAGCATCCTCACACCCAAGAGCCCCATGCCAGGGAGACCTAGAGGTAGAAGCTGCACCCTTCAGGAATCCCTGCTGCCAGGGAAGGGAGAGGTGGGGCGGTCCCTGCTGTGTGTTTCCGCCAAGAGCAGACGTGTTTTCTGCGTCCGAGATGGAGTGAACTCGTCCCAGCATCCTCAGCCAGTTGGGGCTTGATAGGAAGGCAGAATCCCTCCCGCCCCAGAGCAGTGACATTGGAACCTGATTGCAGCGAGAGATCCCCAGCGAGTTAATCCAGAGCAGCTAAGAGCGCTCTCAGCCCACAGGTAAAGGCTAAGGGAGGGAGGTGGGTATTTGGCACAATGGCTAAGAAAACACAGGACACTATATCCTATATCAGAGGGCTTGGGAGTTAGTCCTGGCTCTGCTTCCAATTCCAGCTTCCTACTCACACACAGCCTGGGAGGCGGCAGGTAATGAGCCCTGCCGCCCACGTGAGAGAGCTGGATTGAGGTCCCAGCTCCAGGCTTCAGCCTGACCCAGTCCTGACTACTGTGGGCATTTGGGGAGTGAGCTCATGGATGGAAGAGCTCTGTGTCTGTCTCTCTGTCTCCCTTTCCCTCTCTCTCTGCCCTTCAGATAAACAAAAATAAACATATTTTTAAGTCCAAGGGAGGAGGAAGTTCCAGCAGAAACTTACCTATGTCTACACCAGAGGTCGTGTGATGTCGAAATGTGCTCGGCTGCCTGTGTGCTGCAGCCTCCCTGAGCCGGCTTCCCCAGCCACAGGGCCCGCTCAGAATTCTCGGGCAGATCAGCTGAGCAATTGGGCACGAGCTATGAAAACTTGAAAAGCCCGGCCCCTCCCTCTCACAGCTGGGCTTCCAGGAGTCCGACCTTGTCCTTAAGAACAGCCCTTGGGCCGGCGCTGCGGCTCAATAGGCTAATCCTCCGCCTAGCAGCGCCGGCACACTGGGTTCTAGTCCCGGTCGGGGCGCCGGATTCTGTCCCGGTTGCCCCTCTTCCAGGCCAGCTCTCTGCTGTGGCCAGGGAAGGCAGTGGAGGATGGCCCAAGTGCTTGGGTCCTGCACCCCATGGGAGACCAGGATAAGTACCTGGCTCCTGCCATCGGATGAGCGCGGTGCGCCGGCCGCAGCGCGCCAGCCGTGGCGGCCATTGGAGGGTGAACCAATGGCAAAAGGAAGACCTTTCTCTCTGTCTCTCTCTCTCTCCCTGTCCACTCTGCCTGTTAAAAAAAAAAAACAAAAAAAAAAAACAAAAAAAACAGCCCTTGGCCGGCGCCGCGGCTCACTAGGCTAATCCTCCACCTTGCAGCGCCGGCACACCAGGTTCTAGTCACGGTTGGGGCACCGGATTCTGTCCCGGTTGCTGTTGCTTGCTGCTCTTCCAGGCCAGCTCTCTGCTGTGGCCCGGGAGTGCAGTGGAGGATGGCCCAAGTCCTGCGCTGGCTGCAGCGGCCATTGGAGGGTGAACCAACAGCAAAGGAGGACCTTTCTCTCTCTCTCTCTCTCACTGTCCACTCTGCCTGTCAAAAAAAAAAAAAAAAAAAAAAAAAGAACAGCTCTCCCTGGAGTCTGCCTGAGCGCACGGGGCGGGAGGAAGTGCGTCCCCCGACAGCGGCCCTGCATCCACACAGCCATGATCATCAGGAGAGCACCAGAAATGGGTCTAGAAAGACAGGCAGGTGTTGCCCTGGGAGAAGGACTAGAGCAGCGTTTCCACTTTATTTTATTGCATCTCGGGAAAGTTTCACACCGGCAGCTCTCAAGTGTATCTGTTAACACGCTGGAAGTGTATCTGGGCTGCATCCATTAAAAAGAGATTTTTTTTAACTCCTTCTCCAAAACCAGTGTTCACCTCCCCCCTTGAAGGCCATCTCAGCCCTGTTGGTGATGTGTTAGAGAGGGACAGGCGACCCCGAGGGCCGTCACGCGCTTCTTGATCATTTAACCTGTCGTTTTCAGAAAAATCGTAGTGCGTGCTTACATAGCACTGCGTACGGGACAGGCCCTCTTG